TCTAAGCTATCCAACAAAAAATTAAAAAGTAATAAATGTACACTGCGTCACTCTTATTTTTAGAGTTTAAGTTGAAAAAATGTCGCGTCCGTCACCCTGGAAATGCCCATATGATATCCAAGCCAAACTCTACGAGGTACCCGAGTTTGAAAAAAATCTAAAATTTCATATGCACAGTTGAAAAATTCTTACACAGCTCCAAATTTCGAAATTTTCACTTTCACCGCTCTCTCTGGTGAAATTGAGAACTAACACTCATAAGAAATAACCTCCGAGAATTCTTCAAATCGCTCAAAATCCTACTTTGGAATTGCAAGAAGTAATCACGCAGGGCACTGAGAAGCTCGCGGAGTAACTTTTGCTCCAGCATCGAGAACGTCCCGAACAGCAAGACTCAGCAAGCTGCTGTGGATAAAAACTACCATACAGTGTCAGCTAAAACACGACGAAATACAGTGATGGGCCTCTTCATCCACAGCACTTATGCAATCGCACTTCTCAGGATGCACGGATGTCCGAGACGCCAGCCTAGGACATAGCAATATAGAACGCCCCCAAACGATCTAAAAACACCTACGAAAATTAACTGGGCCATAAACCAGGACCATAAGGCACCAGGACTAGACGGAATATTTCCAGCGGAAAAGGTGGGAATGCGGACAAGACGGACCTCATTATCTTTACTAAGAGATACAAGGTAACGAAATGGTTATTTAAAAAATAAAAAATAACTGATATATAGACAAACAGCTTAAGTGTAAATTGAAAAATGCTTATATTTTAATATTCTTTTGTTTAAAAAAAATTTAAAACATGGATATTTTTGGTTCCGATCTATCTCTTGGTCTTGGTAGCAACCCTTTAGCTAAAATTAAAATACCCTCTGCAAAGGAATATTTATGTTAATTTTTGTACGTGTAAAAACAATTGCAAATATATGCCAATCGAATAAAAATGTCAATTTTTAATCAACAACAACTAAAAACATCGATGTTTGTTAGGGGGGGCGTAGAGATGACGAACGATAAAAAGGAGAATGTACCTGTTTCCCTCGGATCGCTACAAAGCGCCCTGGAGGAATACCAATACTTGCCGAGTCTTAAAAATCATGTGCAAGGAGCGCAATTATAAACTCAGCTACTATGTACTGCATCTACCCCGGAAACTGCAGACTGATAGTGGGAATTTCATAGGACATTGTTTGGCCGCATCACACGCAACCACACTCAGAATACTCAACAGTCGCACCTGCAGAAAATGCGATGAATCGGGGGCCATCGAAACCCTAGAACATCTCATCTTCAATTGCGCAGCTCTCTCATGAGCAAGAAGAAGATACCCCGGTGTCCTAGTACTAGAATCACTTATAGACGTCTCTAGATGGGAACCAGGCTAACTTCCTGTCTTCGCCAAAAAAAACATCGCGCGAATTTTTAAAAAAAAATTTCTTTTTTGAATAAAGGGGCAAGCCACATTATTGTTTACTGCGCTTAAGCTGAATACGACTTTTTTACTTATATTAATAATAATTAAATATATTTTCCCTGCGGGCGTAATGACACTTTCCTGTGTGTCATAAGGCCCACAAAAAAGCACCTGCGGGCGTTATAACACTTTTGAGTGTGTCATAACGCCCGCGGGGGTAATGATATGCACCAATGCAATATACCCGCTTACTAAAATGTTTACCTTTTTAAGCTCATTTTTCAATTTCACAGAGATTTAAATATGGCTGTCTCGCTCTTACCCTGATTTATATTTCGATTTATTTCCATGTATGAAAAGTACAAAAATTTGCATTCTAAATCAGAACTTTGTCCAAAACAAAGCAAACAAGAAAGGAAGTTACCTTCGGCCAGCCGAAGTTTATATACCCTTGTAGGTATGCCTACTTAAAATGTTATTTTTACAATGTCAAAAATCAAAACGCCTACTTTCTACAAAGTCACAACGGTTTTTTTTATTATTTTTCGGATTTTTCCTATGGGAGCCATAATATATAGTGGTCCGATCCGGCTTGTTCCGACATATGTACTACCTGCTATAGAAAGAAGACTTTTGGGAAAGTTCCATCGCGATAGCTTTAAAACCTCTAGAACTAAGAAATTAAAAACGTTTACTGAATGTTCAGTAGAGAAACATACATGTTTACTCGCATTCTATAGGATTTAGGAGCAGACAATAATATCAAAATAGCGGTTTTATTCGTTTAATAAATCCAATAAAATGTCCTCATGAAAACGCTTTAGATCGAAATTAAAGCATACAATGAACAATAGATTCACTCACAATAGGTTTACTCCTCACCGAGTGCAGTGTGTTAAAATGCTAGACTGTTGAATTATAAACTCAACTTCTAAAAATGACCTCGAGTCCGCTAACGTACTCAATAGTAAACATAGGTCGATCAAAATCACTAATTAACAAAAAGGTAGACACGCCCTATAACAATCGCATAATGCAAATTGCATTAAAAAACAAGAGAGAACGCTATAGTCGGGTGCCCCGACTATCAGATACCCGTTACTCAGCTAAAGTGCGAAGGAGATAAAAACTTTGATCCGCCGTAACTTTTTAACGAATGGTCCGATTTAAAAAATTTCTTCTACATTTCGATAGGTATTGATAAACACCATAAAACTGCATTTTTACTTTTCCGAAATATTGAATTTTTAAAATCGTATAGAAGCGATTGTGGGCGTTAGAGGGGGCGTGGCACCATTTTGAAACAAACTTGCGCTGCGTAGGAACTCCTAGAATCTGCATGCAAAATGTCAATCTTCTAGCTGTTATAGTTTCCGAGATCTCAGCGTTCATACAGACAGACAGACGGACATGGCTAGATCGACTCGGCTAGTGATCCTGATCAAGAATATATATAGTTTATAGGGTCGGAAACGCTTCCTTCTACCTGTTACATACTTTTGCACGAATGTAGTATACCCTTTTACTTTACGAGTAACGGGTATAATGAGTACGTTTCGAATACAACAATTAAGTAATTAGTTGTTGTTATTCACGTCTGAAATTGGAAAACAGATTGTTTCCAAAAAGACAACGAATATAGCTTTCACACGCTTTAGAAGTTTAGCGACGAAGCTTTGACGTAAGTCACAGCTATAAGTATGTAATGCTTAATTACATATTCCTAGATGTGGTATAAATAGAAGTTTCGACGCTCAGGTCACATCCTCTTCTCGTGCTGATGAGGTAGCGTTGACGACCTACCGAAATTTGCAAATCCCAGAAAGTCCGAGGTTCACTCCTCACCGAGTGCATTATGTTGAAATGCTAGATTGTTGAATTATAAACTCAACTTCTAAAAATGACCTTTACTCCGCTAAAGTACTCGATTCAAGGAATAGTTAATATTTGTTCCATTTAAGATTTAATTTTCAGGCATCTTTTTTCATCAGAGAAATTTTTAAAATTTTGGGATTTTTAACTTTTGCGTAGAGTTCCAAAGACATGGGCAATGGTTGACAGTGGGGTCTATTTTTTAGGAGTCCCGTAATGTATTGGGAGTAGATTTCAGCGAAAATAATAAAGGTTAGTCCAATTATATAGGCCACATAATTCAAAATGTCGGCAATGTCGGTTTTTTTGTATTCTTAGCTATACCGCGGAACCTGTGGGTGATGGGACATAAGATTGTATGGGACTTTTACTCAGGAGCACCCAATTATCATGGTAAACTAGAAATGGTTCGTGGAAATTTCACAAAGTTCAGTTTTGTGTTCCTGTGTTGTTGCCCTGCAGGAAAAATGCGAACTAGTCTGAAAAACAACTAGTTATACAACTAATATAAAGCAACCGGAATTTGTCTGAATGCATTTGGACTACTCAGGGTCTAGAAAATTAGTGCTAGCTAAAAAAATTATTAATTTATATACATATGATCCAAAAATATAGCCTAGAGTGTAAATGTCCTGGGAAATTTAACACTAAACAAGTCAAACACTCGAGGTCCTCGGTTCAATCCCCAGTCTCTGTACATTTCTTTTTTGTTTACTAGGTGATGCTTTAGTTTTATTTTAAACTTTGTTTAATTTGTCCGAGGCAATATATATGTGAAAAATCACTGTTTTTGAATTATGTCACACTAAAATTCATAAACCATCTTAGGGCATTACAAAATGTGATGCGTGTATGGCTCAATCGGTTAGTGTGTCTACAAATCCAAAGGTCCCGGGTTCAAGTCCAAGAGAGGGCGACTTGCCTCAAAAAAAGTAAGTTTGTTTTAATTTCATTTAATTATTATTTACTGTATTTGATAACATAGTAATTATCAGAATTCCTCTAGGGACCGCGCCTATTATTGGCTACTAAATTAGGAGAGCGTTAAGTTAGGCATCGTCAAGTACTAGTGAAATCCAATCACTTGATGGTTTAGAGATTAATTTTTAGCTTTCTCGTGAAAATATTTTTTTTAGTGTAGTTTAACAGCTGTAACCGTAAATTGGTTAACAGTCACTAGTGCAAAACTAGAAATGGACATAACTTGAACTAGTTAACTTTCCTGACCCAACTCGTATTTTACTGGTCCAAAACTGATTCCGTTTGCTGCAGGGTATTGATCGGCATGGCAAAGTTAGACTCTAATCTATTGAAACAGACGGACAGACGGACGGACGGACAGACGGACGGACGGACAGACGGACATGGCCAGATCGACTCATCTAGTCATGCTGATCAAGAATATATATACTTTATAGGGTCGGAAAGGTCTCCTTCACTGCGTTGCAAACTTCTGACTGAAATCATAATACCCTCTGCAAGGGTATAAAAACGAAAATTGTTCTGATATCCCAGGAACAGCGCTGATCCCAACACACACGAAATGCGGCCACTTATTTGCAGGAATCTCGTTTTTGTGTATTTTCTTTAACTGCAAGGGCAAATAAACTTCGGATTGCCGAAGTTACCTTCTTACCTTTAGATCAAAAAAAGATTGGTGTTATAAATTGCAATTAAGAATCATCAAATCATTAAATACTTACGCGCCAAGCACTGTGTAGTACTCCAACGTAAAATGATAATAGCAAATTCTTGGAGGCTCGCCTTCACGACAAGCTCTTGCACATTCATCAGGAGCAGATAGTGCAGGATTGCGTCGCAGCTCGGCAGTCGCACTAGTGGAGAAATCTAAGTGTCGGAATGGAGATTTCGGATTCGGTTCTACGACTGTGCCTGTGATCTTATTAGCTGGATAACGAGCAGAGGTCGGTAGACTTCCGCGTGAGTTTAGGTACCCGCTTCCAGCTGTCAAGGATGGCTTACTACCAACAACGTTCGAGGCGGGTACGCCAGTCCCAAGACTATTGCTATTCAGTGGAGCGGGTCCTGGAAGGCTTGCACCTATAGAAGGGTGAGTTTGCACAAGACCATGTGCTGCAGAAAAAAATGTTGAATCAAATGCACCTGAGCTACTGGGAGTTGCCACATGTTGCTGCCAGAAGGACCCCGATGGTGACAGATCGGCTTGATTTTCTGCAATAAATATGACAAATAATATATATAGACAAAAAATGTAAAGTTTTGAAAAAATTCAGTGTTTATTTTACGCTGTGTAGTTATTATATTATAGTACACCCTTAAGCATCAGTATATAAGAAGTGCAAATGGAAAGTCTGGTATCACTGCGGACGGCAGTCCACGTAGTGAAGAATCGCACCGGAAACGATAATCCAATTGAAACACGTGATAAGACAATCGAAAGATATTATTATTCTCTTCAAAATATAATTCAAAATTTCTTTAGAATTTAAATGGTTTAGGGGATAAACTTCCGTTTAGCTCCTACGCCCAATTTTGTTCAAACTTTCCATATTGACGTGTTTTTGGGTCCTGATTACGAGAAAAAAAGTCAAAGTTGGCGCAAATGACAGGATCTTGAAAAATAACGGTAAAAATCGTAAAATTTTCGGTTTTGTGCTATTTTTTCGGAAAATATAAGAAAAATTAAAAAATGTTTCAGGCAAAAAGAGAAGATAATTATAAAACGGATTTTTTGTGTATTAATCATTTTCTTCGTAACACTAAGGGTTTTCGAAAAAAATGTAAAATAAGTATTTTAATTAGGTGGTGAACATTTAAAAATACTGCAATATCCCGCCATAAAAATGGCGTCAGATAGTTTTCGATTAGCCGATAACAGCATTTTACCTTCTAATCTAGCGATGGACCTATTTTGACTTTTTATACGATGTATCGTGTTCATGTTCCGCGAAAAAGCGAAATGGAACGGATGAACTGAATGGAAGCTGGATAAGCTTTTAAAGAAATTAGTAAGTTACGGGCGAGGAAAGCGCCGTAGGCAAAAATTTTTTTTTTCAAAAATCGCCTTGTTCTTTTTTTTTTTTAATTTTTTGCCTGCGAATTTATAAATGATTTATAATATTTTTTTGGTCATACATTTTATTTCCGTTTTATAATTTGTATTTTATTTTGTTTTCTAAATTTTATATTTAAATACGAGAACAGAAATGCTCTTCTTAAAAAATTCTTCTTAAAAAATCGCTAATACATCGAGAGACATCGATATAAATTTTGACACACCGATATAACATGAAGCTTTCGTGCGATATATCGGGCAAAATGGCGCAAGTGTGCTACAACGGTTTTTTATTTTTAAACATTGTGAAAAAATAATCTTATTTAGCGTTTTTAACGAAAACTATTAGTTTTACAGAAAAAATGTATAAAACTTAAAATATCTATTTAATAGCTTTCATTTCTCCTAGCTAGATTTTTGATTAAGTTAATATTTTAGAAGATATTTAAGAAAAAACAGTTTTTACCGTTATTTTCCATGATCCCGTTATTTGCGCCAACTTTGACTATTTTTCCCGTAATCAGGACCCAAAAACACGTCGATATGGAAAGTTTGAACAAAATTGGGCGTAGGAGCTAAACGGAAGTTCACCCAAAGTTAGTAACCAACAAAAATTAAATGAAATGAAAAATAAAATTGTCAAGAAAAGCCATCATAAATTTCTTTTTAATATAAAAACTTCGGCCAGCCGAAGTTTATATACCCTTGCAGGTATGCCTACTTAAAATGTTGTTTTTACAATGTCAAAAATCAAAACGCCTACTTTCTACAAAGTTACAATGGTTTTTCTATTATTTTTCGGAATACTCCTATGGGAGCCATAAGATATAGTGGTCCGATCCGGCTCGTTCCAACATGTGTACTACCTGCAATAGAAAAAAGACTTTTGGAAAAGTTTCATCGTGATAGCTTTAAAACTGAGGGACTAGTTCGCATAGAAACGGACAGATGGACATGGCTAGATGGACTCGGCTATTGATGCTGATCAAGAATATATTTTTATATGTGGTCGGAAACGTCTCCTTCACTGCGTTGCAAACATCTGACTGAAATTATAATACCCTCTGCAAGGGTACAACAAGTGAGCACGCTGTACTTGGGTGCCCTGACTAACAGTGCGAGGAAAATGAAGATATAAATCTTTGATCGGGCATAACTTTAAAAAATTTCGCCTTTCGATAGGTATAAATTTTTATAAAGGAGACATTTTTTTTTTTACGTATGCATTTTATTTATTGGATCTTCTCTGAATTCAGACTAACAATAAGTATATAAAATCTTAAATTAAAGAGCTATCTAACAGTCAAGATGACTGACGCGAGATTAAGGGGCTCTAATAACTATTGCTGAGCTGGAAGGTCATTTCGTTGCAATCGGGTCCGGTATGAGACCCTGGCTAGGCCCCTGGCGAGTTGGTTTGGATGAGAAGTTAGCTTGGTGTGGTAGGACGCTTTTTGTTTTGATATTTCGTCTTTTACGGGCAGAATGCCAAGATCTCTGTGAATGTTGTCGTTCCGAACATACCAAGGTGCCCCAGTGATAGTTCTCAAGATTTTTGATTGTGCTCGCTGGATAATGTCGATGTTGCTGCTGCTCGCGTTTCCCCACAACTGGGAGCCGTATGTCCAAACTGGCTTAAGCGTTGAATTGTAGAGCAGGACCTTGAAGACCAGGCAGAGGCGGGAGCGAGCATTTAAGAGCTAATGGAGGCCAATGGATTTTAGTTTTAGATGCATTTTTTTAGCTTCGATATGTTTCCTCCTGTCTAGGTGAACGCCAAGGTACGTTACATCGTCAGCTTGTGGAAGTGGCGTGTTATGCAGAGTTAGCGGGGGACACGTTTGTCTGTTAAGAGTAAACGTTATGTGTTTACACTTTTGGGCACTTATTTTTATACGCCAGTCTGATAACCACCTCTCCACTACTAGTAGTGCTGTTGCCTGAATTGGGCATTTGGATTGACTTATGAACGCGGTATCGTCTGCGAATGTGGCAGTAGTTAGCCGGACGTTCGTGGGAATATCTGCGGTGTAAAGGAGAAATAGAGTTGGACCAAGGGCGCTACCTTGGGGAACTCCAGCCTCAATAGTGTAATCGTCGGATGTTGTAGTGTTGCATCTCACGGCGAATTCTGTGTTGTAAAGGTACGATTCGACGATGCGACGTCAGCCTCCAAGGGTGCTCGATTAATTCCGGGCTTTCAAGAAGAGTTATTAGCACTGGTGAGTGGTCCGATGATAGATCCAAATAAACAGCGGCAATGGCAAGGTTGCAGTTGCACAACTGTAATTTTATCGATGTAGCTTGCAAATAACTTTTCGCAAACCTTTGGCGAAAGTGCGAAAGATGCGGTCTTTTATTAAGATGCCGGTTCCGCCATGTGCTTTACCATCTGGATGATCTGTGCTGTAGAACGTGTATCCCCGTATTTGAAAATTATATTTGCTGGTGAGATGCGTTTCTGCCAGCAACATAACGTCGATGTGGTTTTCGTTCAGAAATTGCCCTATTTCAGGTTTATGCCGTGAAACTCCGTTGGCGTTCCACAAAGTTAGACTAGGCATAGTTTAACAAGGGTTTGCATGGTGGTTTTCATGAGGGACATAAATTCCATCATATTATGTTGCAAAGTGATCATCATAGTTTCCATGTCACTTTGGGGATGTCCCATGGCCTGCGGGATGTTATCCATTTTCGGTTCTATGTGAGCTGTGCCTGATTTTAGAGCACTGGCGTAAGAAATGCCGTTGGTGGTAACTGAAGACCAAATGAAGACCTGGCTGCTTTTGCGAAGAAAACTTCCGGTGTCGTTTGTGATCTCATGTAATTGTTCTGTGTGTTCTGGGAGCGTGCCGTTGTCGTTCGTTGCATCCGACTTTTCATTTCCTTGTAGACTGCACAGCCTCTGTAGTTTGCTGTGTGTTTTCCTTGGCAGTTTACACACATTTTAGTAAGGGAGTCTTCCTTGTTGGCAGGGCAGGGCTCGGAGTCGTGGATGTTTCCACAAGCTACACATACTGACCTGAGGGCGCAGTAACCCCTGGTGTGTCCGTATTCCTGGCAGTTCGTGCATTGCACTGGCCCGTTCCGTTTGTGCGGCTCTTCTACTGTGATCCTACGATGCATCAGGTACTGAAACTTGTAGATCGGGTGCCCTGCGTTTTTTTTTTTTCAAAGTTCTGCTGTCTGACTCCATCTCGGCCTTGAATAGTGGTTGCGGCTTGTTGTTTTTGTTCATAATGTTTATAACATTTTTTGCACAGAAACCGTTTTCTTTTAAAGCCTCTATATTTTCGGAGGGGGTCACATCGGGTTCTATTCCCTTTAGCACAACTTGCAAGCCTTTGCAGCTTTTTAGCTGGTACGTGTAGTAATTCTTTTTGGCATCGTTTAAGTACTTAAACACTGCTCGGAAATCGTCTTCAGTTCTGGTTTGCAGTTTAGTTTCACTTTTATTCCCTTTCATAAGCGGAATAACATGAAAGCTATCTTTTCCGACTAGCTCAACTATTTTGTTGACTAGGGCATTCGAGGTCTTCTCCCGAATAAAGATAGGTGGCGGCTTCAGTTTCATTGGGGCTAGTTGTTTAGACTCTGTTTCGTGCTTCGCCAGAATGGAAAATCTATTTTCATTTAGTGGCCCGAGATTTTCAGAGCCTTTGTTGGTACGGTTTACTTTGTGCTTATTGCCGTCAGAATTTTTTGAGGGCGTTAGCTTGCCCTTGGAAATATTTATGTAGCGATCCATGCCTGTGTGCATGGCCGAACCCGCTTGCGGATTTGTCATTTCTTCAACCGTAGCTTTGTTTTTGCCGTTTGACCAGATTTTTGCACTTAATTGTGTTGTTGCTTTACCCGCTGCAGAAGAAGAGAGTGGAGTCGTTATTGCAATGTTGGCGACAGAGGCCGTTGTTGTTGACGTAGTAGTTGCTGTTGTTGTTGCACTAGGTGGCAGAAGCTCAGTTGGAGTTTTGCATTGCTCACTCCATGGCGTTTGAGCGGTGAGAAGTAGGGCGGGAGAGGTTTTCGGCGGTCAGTAAACTTGCGCTTTCTTGCTCTTTCGGTTTTAAAGTATTACTCGTGAAAGAGAAATAAGCATTGTTACGGGCCAAAGAAAGACGACGTTTGTCTTGCTCTCTCTGAATTTTTTCACGGG